ATTGATTTGATTTTTATGTTGTAAGCCGCCCCAAGTAGACATGGTCTAGAGGGGCGGGGTATAAATTTAATAAATAAATCAATAAATCAATAAATAATGCTTTAAATGTCAAAACAAGTACCTTATAATATGTTCTTGATATGATGGGTAACCAGTGCAATGCCTTGCTTTGCTGGGAAATATGGGAGTAGCACGGTAGGTTTAAAACTACTCGTACTGCGCTGTTCTGCACAAAGATGAGAGGACAAACTGCAGAAGAAGAGAGACCAGCTAACAAGCTATTACAATAATCCAGGCATGAAACCAGCAGGGCATGAACAAGAAGTTTCATAGTCTCAGGAGTCAGGAAGCGACAAATACAGCGAATATTAGCCAAATGGAAATTGTCTTGGCTGTCACATTCACAAATGAACGAAGCGACAGCCGATCATCCACTAAAACTCCAAGATCCCTAGTCTCTGAGACAGGTGTCACGGAGCAGCCCTGGAGAGAAATAGAGGAAACAGTCAAAGGGCAAGCGGGACGATCTGGGTAAAAGACCAGAACTTCAGTCTTGTCCATAATCGATTTCAAGTGGTGAGAAGAAATCCACAATGAAACATTTGACAAACAACCTGTCAAAGAAGTCCAGATTTTATTATTAAACTCTGAGTAAGAATGGTATACTTGGGTATCATCTGCATAGATACGATAGTGAAAGCCCTGTTCAGAAATTATGGTGACCAGGAAAAGCGCATATAAAGAAAAAGGAATTGGGCCCAACACTGAACCTTGTGGAACACCAGCAGTGAGAGGAAACAGTTGAGAGGTTTTCAGTACCCAATGATACTGAGAATGAACAATTTGACAGGTAGGAAGAGAACCAAGAGTAGTACTTCCAGAGATTTCCAAAGAAGCCAACCTCGTCAAAAGTATTTGATGGCCAAGTGTGTTGAATGCTGCTGACAAATCAAGCAGCACCAACACCGATGAATGATGTTGAGCCTTGGCCAACAAGATATCCTTCAAGACTCAAGCGAATACAGTCTCATTTGAATGTCCAGCCCGAAATCCCAATTGAAATGGATCAATGGCATTAGGCTAAATAAGGAGTCAATATAAGTTAAGATAGAAAAGGAAGGAGAGAAACAGGTCGATAGTTAGCACAAACAGAAGGTTCGAGGGAAGGTTTCTTCAACAGGGGGACGAACAAAGGCATGCTTAAGAGAACTTGGAAATTTGCCAGTAGAAAATGAACAATTCACTATACTAGTCAAAAGTGGCAGAAGGGAAGGACCTATAACGGAATAAAGAAAAAAGGGGAAGGGATTGCAAGGTGTAGTGGTTAATGGAGAAGCAGACAGAATTGCAGAAAGTTCCTCCTCTGATACCCAGGAGAACTCAAACTGGTTTCCTGCGGATCAAGAGGGAGAAGGACAAGGTGGAAGAGAATGTCAAAAAGGTTGAACAGATTTTTTTCAGTTTTCTGAAAAATAATAATCAGCTAGCACGTCAACTGATGGAGATAGAGAATGATCTTCAGTTGTATTGGGCAACCTTGGGGCCAGTATATTCCTAAAGGTATTACATAACTGTCTTGGATTATGTGACTGAGCTGTAATAGTAGACTGATAGAAGGTCTGCTTAAATTTAAAAAAATACTTTCCCAGTGCTCATTTTAAAAGATAAGGAGAATGCTCTGATGGTGCATGCTTCCATTGTCATTGTAACCAACAAAGGGAGGATGGTTCATTTTTAAGCTCCTGAGTTAGCCAAGGCCGAGCAGGGCGAACAGCTCTCTCTCGGCAAACAGAGGGGGCTACCTGCTCCAAAACCTCACTTGTGACTAATTGAAAAGTATCAGCTAGTTCATCTACTAAGCTAGACTGTAAATTATCATCTAAATGCTGTGATCTTGACCAATCTAAGAATGGCTGTATGATCCCCTGATTCAGACCCACTATAAAGTTACTAGAGGAAGCCTACTTGCGGCCGGAGCTTCAACCTACGAAAACAAAAAGGCAGGGGGAAAGGGCAGGAAATTCAAACCATTGGTGACGAAGAGGCTGCTTCATTGCCCCAACAGTTAGGAAAAGGGATGCTCAGCCTCCCGAGCTTCCAACACCTCCCCGACTGCCACGACAGGTGCCAGTGCTTTGGAAGCCCAGGAAGCCTCCGCAGCAAATTTTTGGATTTGTTTTGTTTTTTGCGGCCCCAGGGGCTTGCAGTGTTTCGTCTTTATATTTTTGGTGTGTTTTTTGGGGGGGGGCGGAACGGATTAAATGGTTTTCAGTTCATTCCTATGGGAAATGGTGATTTGACTTAAGGATAGGCCTTTCTCTAAGTCTCACCATCCTCACAGGTGCACTTGGTTGGGATATGGGAGAGGGCCTTCTCTTTTGCTGCTCCTAGACTTTGGAACTCCCTCCCACATGAGGCCAGGCTGGCCCCATCTTTCCTATCCTTCCACAAGCAGGCAAAGAACTTTAAGAACATAAGAAGAGCCCTACTGGATCAGGCCAAGGGACCATCTACTTTAGCTTCCTATATCTCACAGTAGCCCCACCAGATGCCTCTGGGAGCACACGAGACAACTAGATACCTGTCTCCTGATACACCTCCCCTACATCTGGCATTTTGAGGTACCTTTTCAGCCTGGAGGTTATACACCTTCATCATGGCTTGTAACCTGTGGTGGACTTTTCCTTCCCTCTGTCCAATGCCCTTTTAAAGGCATCTAGGCCAAATTCCACTAAGATCATGGCCACTGGTCCCATCACCTCCTGGGAAATAGAAGGGGAAGATGTGGAGGCAGTGACAGATTTTACTTTCTTGGGCTCCATGATCACTGCAGATGGAGATAGCAGCCACGAAATTAAAAGATGCTTGCTTCTTGGGAGGAAAGCAATGACAAACCTTGACAGCATCTTAAAAAGCAGAGACATCACCTTGCCAACAAAAGTCCGCATAGTCAAAGCTATGGTTTTCCCTGTAGTGATGTATGGAAGTGAGAGCTGGGCCATAAAGAAAGCTGACTGCCGAAGAATTGATGCTTTCGAATTTTGCTGCTGGAGGAGGCTCTTGAGAGTCCCCTGGACTGCAAGGAGAACTAACCTATCCGTTCTGAAGGAAATCAACCCTGAGGGCTCACTGGAAGGACAGATGCTGAAGCTGAGGCTCCAATACTTTGGCCATCTCATGAGAAGAGAAATCTCCCTGGAAAAGCCCCCGATGTTAGGAAAGAGTGAAGGCAAGGGGAGAAAGGGACTACAGAGGATGAGATGGTTGGACAGTGTCATCGAAGCAGCCAACATGAATTTGACACAACTCCGGGAGGCAGTGGAAGACGAGAGTCTGACGTGCTCTGGTCCATGGGGTCACGAAGAGTCGGACACGACTAAACGACGAAGGCCAAATTCCATCACGACATCCTTGGCAAGAAGTTCCACAGACTAACAAGCTGCCTTGGGTCCCTTTTGGGGAGAAAGGCAGGATAGAAATATTAATTAATTATCTTAATTAATAAAAGAAAGGAAATTAAACAAATGAGTGTTTGAGTAAGTATTGTAACTCTTACTAAGTTGTGAAGCACTTTATTGTAGGCCTCAATGTGAACAAAGGGAAACAACCTCTGACAGAAAAAGCAGAAAAATATAATATTAAATGTTTTACTTATGTTTGCTGTTAGTTATTATAAAGCAAATATGTGCACAAATGAAATGGATTAAAACATTCTAACAATGTTTAGTAGGATGATATTCTGATTTCAAGACAGAATAACATGTAATCATGTATGGTGAACAGTTCCAGTCATCAGATATATTTCACTCTGTTAGTTTTGTTCAGTGGCATAATTGATGCAACCGGTGGATTACCTAAACCAAAACTTGAAATAACAATTCAGAATTATATCTATGGGGCCTAACAGTGAGTGTCTTAGTGGCAGTGGTAAAACTGCTCCTTAAATACCTCACTTTGTTTGACAATCTTATTAATATCTATAACTTAGTTCTGACTTGATGGAGAATAACAAAAAAAAGAGAGCTTGTCCATCTTTTTTTAAAAGAAATTATGCATGATTAGGGAAAATCGACCTTTCTCCAGACTTCAATTCTAGACAGTAGTTGCCAAAAGTATCAGTGCACTTAAAGCATCCATTAAATTTAATGACAAATATATTGGTCAGCAAAATCATTAAATTTTTTGTTGCTTATTGTTTATTTTGCTTTTGTGCAGCCCGATGAATATGATATAATTGTCAGAGAGCTTGGCTTCGAGATGAAGGTACTGCCTTCTAATAGGATGAAAACTGAAGAAGAGTTGGCAAAAGAGGAACAAGAGAGACTTCAACAACTAGAGGTATCATATCTGTTTATGTATATAAGAAATGTTCAGTATTCAGTATTGTATAGTTATTTTTAGCATCACATTTCTGTTCTGTAGAATGAACACAGATTTGTCAGTTTTCACAGATAGAGCACCAGTGTGATATAATGAATAGAGTATAGCACATTTGTTCCAAAACATGACATAAAACATGGCATGATGGGTAACAAAACACTGGAGATAAACTAATCTGTGCAGCTCTCTGCTCCTTATAAATTTTATGAATTATTTAGATATGAACTTAAGAATACAGGTGAGCAGAAGTGACCTCTTGAAGATTACTTGATATTTCGGTTGGAAACTTGGGTTGAACTAATTGAAGCAGGACAACTTTGGATTTCTATATGTTCAAAGAAAAACCACCTGACATTTACTAAGAGTGATGACAGTGCCTAAGTTGCCAGGAATCTTAGAACTAATAGTAGCAAAATTATTATTTGATTTCTGAGGTTTAGGAAGTTGCAATTTTCCCAATAACACAGAAGTTATCAAACCATATTGTCAGTTCTGTGAAAATATTCAGGAATTTAAAAATAGACCAAAAGTCCTATAACAGGTTAAAAGTTGTTAGGTTTTA